AGGTGGAGTGAAATATTAGGCAATCCGATTCACGTTCGATTCCTTGTCTCCTGATCCATTTTAACCGAATGCGCCACTTATCTAAGCGGCCAAAGCCGACGCCTTAACCTACATTCTGGTTCGACACCTCCGCGTCCGCCATACTTCCCTGTCAGTTTACTTATTAATTTAGATTATGTCGCGCAAGAGCTAATTGCCGCGAAACGTTAGACGACCCTGGCTTTTACACCTTCCACTCGATCCAAGTGTTATAATTCCTTACCATCGTCGGCCATTTCCCGAGTATCTCCTCGATAAGATCACGTGCTTCTAATTACCCAGTGAATATACAGGTATTTATTATACCCGTGTTAAGTATATACGAGGAGGCAGGCTATGTTTATTTTGATTCGCTAAATATAATTTAATAAACGAGATAATTATCGATCGAGTGATTTGGTACTAAAATACAAAAGAAAGTTCACTTTGGTTCATATCGTTAGTCTAAATAAGAAAATATCGAACCTAAAATTTATATTGTATCAGTAAGATTAATTATCCCAATATAAAGCACATCTTAACTCTTAAAGTGCTTGAAAGCATGAGTCAGTATGCTTAATTATTTTTAAACGACGCCGAGTTTACTCGACGAGTCAGAGCAAGTGCAATGTCGAAATAAATTGCACAGAATAAACTCCCAATTAAATTCTTCCATTTATTTTTAAAAATTCGCTTCAAAGATACGACGTGCAGAATTTAAACTTCGATTACTTCCTACATGAGACGATATATTTAATTAAGTAACCTAGTTAACCCTGTTAAAATTACGAATATATTTCTTAATTTACAAAGGACTGGTAAATGGAAAAATAAAATAACGTGAAAAGAAATGGAACTACAAAAAATACCGAAGTTAAGTGGTCAAAGCGATCACGCTGAACAGAGAATTTTTACTCAAAAATGAAAAAATCTAGTCTGTGTTAGCGTCAATCAAAAGATTGTCACCTTTCCACGACAGGTATACGGCAAAACGACAAGAACGACAAAATTCCCGATATATCAGTGTGAAAACCAGTTTCACCGCTCGACTCGAACAGCGTCAGAAAGCGAAGGCTATTCAACGGTGACGCAAGAGTCTATTTATTCTATTGCTCGATAAAGAGACTCGGAACGAAAGGGGTCAGACCGCGTGGAGTTGCCTAAAATCTCGTGACTGGGTCAAGTAGGGGACCCGAGCGCACCCATGGCCCTTCTGCTCTCCTAATAAAGTGATACAGTTTATTGGACTTCTTCGAATCGGAATGCGGTGTGAGTGACACGTTTATCTTCGAGGAAGTCTGTGCTTCGTTCCGTCGTGGTGGACAGGAAGCGATTGAGAACGCGCCGGCACGTGCGCGTCTTCTGGTATGACCCTCTAGTTACGCGTTAACCAGCGGCCAACCAGCTGGGTTTTTATGCTTCGCTGATAGACTCACTATGCTTGGTCGGCAAGTGCCAGTCGAGTGGGTTAGGGAAAAAATGCGTCGCAGAACTCGAGTCGAGTTCCGCGGCTGACGTCGCCATTTTGTTTCTTTTCCCCGCAACCTTCCGCCTCCTTTGTACATCCGTACGTCTATGGCCTATCGGTGCGATCGATATAATTAATGATTTATTTTTACAAAATTTATATTTAAAATGGAATTCTTTCTTTTCTTAAGTAATTCATGTAAGGGAAGAGTTATGTTTAGGAAATTTGTATTAAAAAATTCGTCTTTTTTTAAGCAATCGATTGAGTCGGTCGATCAATAGTGTCGAGTTTTTACACTAGATGGTGCTCTTTTGTTTTTTAGCACGAGGTAACGCCTCGTAACCTATTACATATGGGTAATTATATGTTAATTGGAATTGTTTATCAAAGAACATAGTGGTGAATATACTGTAAAATAAAACTTTTTTGTTTCAAATGAAATTATTATTGTTCCATAGCAATGTTCTTTAACATTAGAATTATGATACCAATCTAGTCTAATAACTGGTCACAGAATTTTCTTTTTTGCAATTACTAAAAACATATATCTTTTAAAAGAATTAGCGTTGATTCATATGGAGATAGAACTGTAATTGATGTATTTACTTATGCTTATCGTACCGATAAAATTACTATTATCTATGCCAGCTATATCTAGGTATCCATTGAAGATCGATAGATCTATCGTTAACAAATTTTGGAAATATTTATGAAGATTGTTTTCAGTGTAACGAGTAATGGGAATATTTCTTTAGAAATAAGTACATTTTAGCATGAGAGAAAGTATGCCTCTGGTAGAGTCGAATGTATGCTCGCCACCATTCGTAACGATCATAAACAATGCAGTATCGTGTACTCATCTTATCTGGCATCGTGTACGAATGAACAGAGCACTGTAATGACGTCAACTTGACTGACGTCACTTACAAAATGGTCTGAGGGAAGCTCGCATCTACTTAACAATACATATCAGTTATATAATGCAAAGTGACAGGCGGAAACGCCCTCTTGATTGACAGCCTTTGATTTACTCGTATCGATGGCCCTCGTTTATCTATATATCTAGGAAACTTTTCTTGAGACAAAAATCGCGTAATACAAGTCCACATTTATTTTATAATAATTCATATACGATAGTAGAAAAATTAATAAAACAGTCAGACCAGTTAGATTACGTTGCATTTAAACAAATATCTCTGTATTATCTTACAAGATAGAAAAATATTTAATCTGTAGCTATAATACATCAACTCTCTGTCAAACAATAATTAAAATTAATCATTCTCGTATTAATACTTTAAAAATAGAAATAAGAAAATATAAAAGATTGCATTTTCGTGAATAGTTAAAAGATATTATCCAAACGGGAGACATCGATTTCCCTTAAAAAGAAATTCTTAGCTTCAATCGGAACCTTCGGAACATAATCTAAAAAGATCGCATAAGCTCGTCGACGGAGGTTGACAGAAGCCCGAAGGCGAAAGGACGGAAGGACAGTCGGCGAGGCCATCTGTACGGTGCCTAAATCGTTACCAGGGTGATCCTCCTGTGAGATTCTGCAAGCCTGGTAGGCGTGTCAGCCAGACTCATTTTTTCTCGGCTGGCCGAAAATTATTATCCATAGTGAAACGATAATGGCTCGATATCCGTCCACGCGAACTGGCCTGTCGGCGTGGAAGCTCGTTCGATTTGTTGCTTTCCTATTACCAGGTGGTATTTAACTCGCCCATGGCAGGTCACGTGGGTGAAGCTACTCGAACGTATCCGATCCCGGTCGCATCCCCGGTTTCTAGTCGCCTAATAAAAAAATAGCCGCATTATCGATCTCAGCCGATCGACTTTATCGTCCCGTTTCGAGTTCTCGACTCTGCGAACCTCTGGGTCCGCCATGCTGGCCTGGTCGGTGTCCCCTGTTAATATACATATCCCAAATGAACGTACGAATCGCTTTGCCTGTGAGCGCAATCGTCAGCGTGTCTGCGGAATACCAATTTACCAGGTTCATGATTTACCGAACGGTTTTTGGTCGCGGGCGCGAGTCCGTTTCCGATCGATTTGAAATTAGTTCCCTTGGGATCACTGGTTTGTCCTGGGTGCCATTTATCGGCAGGAAAGGCAGGAAATTTTGTTTGCCTATCGTATTACGGATTTTCTTGCAATTTCCTGCAACGTATGGAGTGTAAATATTTTAATCGAATTTTGCAACGTAGATAAATTAATTGTGAAACATAAGTATATTATTATCGAAGGCTGTATTGTTAGTGTAGATAGCTTAGAAATGCACCTTTCTTTCAATTGACAGTTCTTTGACATATTGTTATTATATATCTGAATATGGCTAAATGAAACAAAATTATTGACTATGAGGATTAATTATACAGTAAAATCTGTATTACTTGTGAATGGTTACTAATAATTTAATTTTATTTATCTGATAAAATATATTTTTCTTTCAAGCAACGTTTATTTAATATATTTTTATTAATCTTATATATCTTCATATGGCTAAGTGATGGAAAATGATTTAAAGGACCAAGGAATTATTATAAACACGTGATGAGAAAAATATTCGAAATTTTACTCGATATCTATTAATTTGAAGGAATTTATTTTGGCAAATTTTAATTGACAGTCGCATTAAGTACTTTACCCAATAAGGTATTCTTATCGATACAGGCTTAAGACTCCAGCTGTGTCTTGCGCAAAGGGCATATCGAACCCTAAGGAGTCCCGCGCGTATCATGTTAGCCTGTTCTCAAAACCAACCAAATTTAGACCCTACAAAGGGAAAGGGCTCGTAGCGAACCCACGCGAAGGAGTAGGGGACCCTCAGGAGTAGGGCACCTTCGCTTCCATCTTCTAATCGTAAGGTACACCACTTGCAGGCCAAGTGGACTGGTCAATGGTTACCCATGCCAGACCCAGTGGCTTCTGCTCGCCTGATCAGTGGTCAAACGAAAACATTTGTCAGCCAGTGAAACGGAATAAATTATCCCTTCGAGTCGTACCTGCGCGGGCAAAGGTGAATCACTATTAGTCTTGTGACAGATTTTTCTATTACTCTCGGGGTCTTTTAACAATTTTTCAAGTGTTTCAAGAATTTTGTAATTTAGAAATAAGAATCGTGCAATCTAATTTATTATAAAATAAATTAGAATTAAACTCGATATGGAAGGATATTAATTATTTATACATGTGTATGTGACTTGTGGTAAAACGTAACGATGATTTCCGATGATGATAAAATTAATGGAAATAAAATTGTTCGATTTGTAAATATATAAACACGCGATTCTCCTGATAATAATATATCTTTTAGAGAATTGTTAAATATGGATACGCGACTTCAAAGTGCAACAACCTAATTGGTTTTTATTATCTCGAGGATGATGAGTGGAAAATTCATTTGTAATTTAAGAGTTGCGCTATTTGCTCGTGAAGTTTCTCCGTTCGTGTGTAATGAAATGATCGATCAAAAGGATCTTTGAGTGACGATATTTATTGCTGTTTGCAGGTCACCAATTGTCGGTGTTCAATAGTCAATCGACCATTCAAATTGGCGGTCGATGGAATCACAACAAAGGCAAAGTGGAGAAGCCATTCTTAGGTATAATTGCCGGCCTCGTGGTGAATGGAGCGCGAATTTTGGAACTCGCTGCCGCGAAAGATGGAAGAGTTACTACCAGAGGAGATGTTCAATTGTTACCTCCCGGAAGTCTTCTTGATCGTGCAGCGCCATTGCAGAGAATGCAACAGGTAATTAGACTTGCAAAAGTGTCTTGCGTTACTGTCACGAATAACCCGAATCCGGCGTGCAGAGAGAATTCGTACAACTATTTATCTCGCGAAGTCGTCGAAATGTTAAATTAAATTATAAAACATTTCCTATTAATTTCAAATTCTACGGTAATAACAGTTTAACTTTTATTAAATGGCTTATGAAACTTATAACGAATATAAACTTTTGCCGCAAATTTTAATTTATAATACATAATACCACTTCTGGAGTTGCTCGTTGTAGTACACGAATAATGGACGTTTAGTATGCAAATGATTATTCATCGAATAACAAAAATTTGCAATATCGCGTGTATAATATTATTCATCAATTTATCGAATTAATAGATGAATAATAATAAACAATGCATTTATTTTGCGTTATCAACGTTACTGAACTATGATACAATTTTACTTATTGCTATATAACATATACCAAATGTTACTATATTGCGGAAAGAAGTAATTTCGTTATTTCCATTATTGCTACCGATATTTTGTAATTGGAATAATTATCCTCAATTTGTTATTTCCAATAGCTTCCCTATATATCCCGTGTATCTGTAGCGGCCATAGGCACGTACAAGTAATAAAATTTGTCATGCAAGTGGTCAAGAGGGTTCATGGAACGCGCTCATTCATAGCTGTTTGTGAGAAAGTCATCCTTCACTTCAGCAAAAGTTTTACTCATTTAGTAGCGTAAAGAAACAGCCTTCAGGCTTAGAGTATAATGACCTCAACAGCTCACGCGAGTACCATAAACCGAAAGGTCCGTGAGGCGTGGCAAGCGGGCAACGGCCCGTCACGTGATGCGTCGGGGGCCCGCAGGAGACCCCCCGATGTTCCCACTTCCTAGAAGCGTACTTTCGCGCAGGAAAGACGCCAAGGTAGAAGACTGAGAGGTCATCGGGAAGACCTGGGATTGGTTAACACGTTAAATGCCACGCCTGTCTCTAAGCACCGGCGCTAGATTTTCCGATCAGGCCTCACCTGTCCATACGGCCCAGAAGGGCCCTCATGACGGCTAACTATGGCGTGAACGAAATGGCACGTAAAACCGGCGTGGTGTTTAACCTGTTAATGAGTGAACCAAACCATTGACCAATCAGGGTATTGACCTTATTGGCACCTCGAGGCACTTCCCGGGTCCAAATCGACTTGACTCCTTTATTATAATAAACATAGAAATTATTACTACTACTTTATTGAAACATTATTTCAACAATATAGTTGAAATAAACCTCGTCGTTGGAGACGAACTATTTTAATATGGCATCTTCCTTCACTCTTATATATTCATATCCTACGCGTCATTAACCTCACTCCTCGTTCACGGAGTGACTCACCAGTTGGATGTAGCATAACTCTGGAATATCTCATCGACATATCAAATGCAATTTTCTTTTTTTTTTTTTTCTTTTTCGTTCTGAATAAGGCAATAAATTTTCGTATCTCTTTGCACCACAGACGCCAGCATCCGGTTTCCCGGGCGTCATGGACGACCTCATATTTTCTGGCGCCGGAAGTGGTTGCGCCGCCGACGATGAGGACGTGGAATGCACGCCGATCTATGAGCCTGGTTCCGGTAAGTGTAAGTAACATTTCGAAAGGGGCGTAAGTAATTCCTTCTGCACGTTTCCTCGCAGAGGAATTTCTTCTACGCACCTAATCTCGTATCACGCACGTGTCGATATTTTATATACGTGCACGTTACATGAACTTTCTGGGCGAGGCGTACATACGTAAAAATTGATTACACGATATTTTGTGCGGGAAAGAAAAATTAATTCGATGGCATCCGGAAAAGAAAAATGGTCACGCGATAAATTGCTTCGATGGAAGAACTCCACGGGTCGATGATCGATGGGATCTACTTTGACAAAATACGTGTAAACAATCGCATGTGTATCGTAAGATAATTTTCGATCTTAATGTGATTGCCAGTCGTCATTGAATTTTGCTCAATGTGCGAAAGATATTTTTGGAAATTTATGAAGCAATATTTAAAATATTTCGAAATAATATTTGGAAATTTATGACCTTATATCGATCGAAATTGGGTGGAGAAAATTGTTACCTCGGTGTATTTGTCTTGGTTTAATTATGGGATAGGTATAGTGATTGAAACTGGTTTTAAGAAATGGATTAGACACTGTACATTTTATTTACTAAACTCTACATACACTATTTTATACTACACACGCACACTCGTAACGAAAATTGCAATTAAACGATCGTGGAAGTAACTATTATTAATATATGTTTAGATAAGCGTATATTTATATATACGTATATCTATATGTTAGTATACATATAGATATAACCAATTTTCTATGTATAATGGATGAACGTGAATACTACGCCATTCGATAGATTATGCCTCTGCGAGTAAAATATGTCCTTACAATTTTTCGATTCCATTTTCCGTTTTCGAGTTATTCCCGGAAAACTGCTTTCTCGCAAGTGGTCGTTCGTTCAGTCGTTCGTATATAAGGCTGGGTAGAGCATCTATCTATCGTGTAGTATGAAAGGAGAGACGTTTAGCACTCCCCTAGACAAGGATGGAAACACATATAAATGGTAAGGCACTGTCGCCCTTGGGTGACACTTACCACATTTTTTTTCGGTAATTATACCCTAAAATAATTTAATTGATGCAAATGAAAGGTAATTAAATTTAAATTGTAACGAAATGTGGAAACAGTCGTATGAACATTACAAATAGAAATGAGACGAATATCGTTATTCGTTTTGTCAATAATAATTTAACACTAACTCGTTAATATAACAAAATATCGGGGTAATTTATGGGGATTAATTATTTTGATACCGCAGAGATTTCATAGAATAATTTTTCATTATGAAATTTATCGTTCCTTCTTAAATAAATAACATTAATAAATTACTTGAAATTCGGAATGCACGATATTCTATCGTGCATAACGATAAAACGTAAATGCAATTTGCGCGGTCAGGATAAAATAATCTCCATCTGTACATTATATGACGTTTCCGTAAATAATTCAGTTGTCGTTCTTGGTTATCTCAGCGCTGTGAATAAAAAACACGTATTAACCCATTTGCATCCAAGCGCGGAATATTTCGTGAGTCACGACTGTCGTCTATCATCGAGCGCGGAATAATCCGCGAGCCCGCGACTGTCTTCTATCACCGTGCGCGGAATATCACGACTGTCGTCTATCACCGAGCGCGGAATAATCCGCGAGCCCGCGACTGTCTTCTATCACCGTGCGCGGAATTATCCGCGAGCCCGCGACTGTCTCCTATCACCGTGCGCGGAATAATCCGCGATTGTGTATCAATCGTTCTAAAAAGTACCATGTTAAATAAACTCCATGAACAATTTCGAAGTCATGTACTGCACACATCACCGACCACCATCGGTGATACGGGCCAGTCGTCAGTTGAACCTCACTGATGCCTGAACGCGGCACCTTAAGTAGAGTCATGATGCAAATGGGGTTAAGCCTCCTGCATGACTTGAAGACCTCAGTTAGGCATGGATTATAATTATCTTGGGATCAAACGAATTATGCATATTAATCAATCAAGTATGATCGGAACATCATTCGAGCAACAGATAAGATAATAAATTTCTGTCTTCGTTTTAATGACAGTACTTGTTAATCCGCGTGTAAAAACTTCCAAATGATCCAATAATTGCAATATAAGTACAAAACACAATTAATTAAAGTACCTGAAATACAACGTTACATCATCCTATACAATAACATCACGAAGCAAGATACGATCCTCGTCTCAAACCGACCGAAGCACAGAGTGATGCAAATGCAATTCACCACTTTGCGGTAACAATCGATAATCGACGTCACACTATCTCTAAACGAAAATGGCGGGAGCCTGAGACAGGGCAGAGGAGAACACGCACGCACGATCGGGTTCGCATATCGCATGGCATGCCACCTTTTCGTCTTCATGCTTGCCCGGTTGTATCTTCGATTCATTTGCATATTTAGGATCCCTGACTGCGCCCCACCTTTCTCCTCCCCGTCGACCTCCTCGCTTTCTCTGCCAGCCGGCTCGGAAATCTTCTCCGGCTGACTAAAAACTGAATTAATACGATCCCTTTAATAAGTTCATGCACGCTCGTCGTGATTATGAACGTGCCTATCAGCTATGGCGCCGGGTAATTTTAGAAGCGTGACATTTTGAACGATAAAGAAACGCAGCCGTGAAGAACGTAAGGTATTATAGCGTGGGAAATGATAACTTATTTGTCTCCTTTTATATATATATTTGTTATTATTTTTATTGTTTTATATATATACATTTTACATATATATTCATATCGTTCTTTGTGCATTGAAAACGCAGACTTAATGATTACTAGGGACATACTTTTTAAGTTTTGTGTGTCATATATGGATAATGTTTTATTTATCGTTGTTTCTTTAATCTTAATACTTCATTGTGAATTTTATATTTATATTATATTTTGCACTGTTCGTATTTTCTGCCGCTTGTTAATATGGCGGATTCTCGGGAGCCACGCGCGGGAAATTTGAATCGAAAGGAACGCTGGAGAAGTTTATGGGTGGATGTAGACGCGAGATAGTCAGGTTTTGTTGAAACATTTCTTGACAGTGCGGAACTACACTGTTATTAAATGTAATAGCGATATATATGATACATGCGATGAAAAAGTAATACATTTTTAAAAATAGGGGATTTTAAATTACAGAGGTTATGTAATCGAATAGAATAATAGAAAAAATAATTTTCGATGTGAATCAAAATTTGTCCAACGTGAGAATCTTTTGTTACGTAAGAATTTTTCATACGTTTGATAACCTCTGGATAACCTGATATTTGATAACCTCGCTTTACAAAATGGGTGTTGGCAACATACTTTTTGCAAGAAATCGAAGATACTTGGAATTAGCAGCTAACAAGTCTTAAAGGTTAAACCTGTTTGGGGTTGCAATTATAAAACTTACCCTCACACTTTGTCTAAATTTAGATTAAAAGAGTCGTCGATAAGCATTTTTACGAAGGCGGAAGTTTCTGTTTTCTGCTTTAAATTCAGTCAGCAGAAAAATTTCTTAACAAGTACTACATAAAATAATAACTCCATATTATTTCCTTCTTTTAGACACCATTTCCAATGAACTATTTTCATGCTACGTGCATATACAAAGCGTCCCGTAATGAATAAAGAATATTGCAGGAGCTAATTCAACACTTAAAAACAATAAAAAAGTTCATACAAAAATATATCCCATTTCAACTCGTTTACGAGGCATAGCGAGTTTTATGTTCTGTCATTTCATACCTGATTACCTTCACAGGAGGCGCTCAAAACGAGTAATTTGCATTTTAACGCATGTTTGAAGCGTGTATGTAAACTTTATGACGCTTGCACTCGATGGTGTTTTATCACTTCGCAACTGAGTAACAATTTTTAAATAATTATTAAAAATTTCCAAATACTTTAGACGACTCGAACATGGAAATATTATCTGTACGTTCGCCTAATTTAATTTTCATTCCATGAATTTAATAGTTATTTAATCGTTTAAATCCACTAATATCGATAATACCTGATCGATTTGTCAAACGAACTCAGACATCTACATATTTTTATATTGCTCTTAAATGCTGAATCATTCCTGAAATATTAGTCACTTATTACACAGGACACCCCGTACATCCACGCCACGTCTGCTTTTTACCCCAACAATAGCTCGAATTACGCCAATTACGACTACGCCAATTTACCCTACTCACCCGAAACGTCGAAACCAATTCACCTGCTCGATCTCAAAAACTCCATCCCGCCCACGCTAACACAACTAATATTCCCATTTCGCAGTTAATAATATCATTATCCCCATTCGTAACGCATCAGAGCGCGTCATCCATCAAGCCGGATAGATCATCGTACCCCGGTGAGAACGATCCGTTGAAAATGGAGAATCGTCCACGTTCCCGTGGAAACTGAATCGAAGGCTGAAACGAGCCCGATATCGGGAACAAAATGCTCCAATCAAACGCGCATTCTATCTCCATTATCGTTCATCCCGCCCACCCTCTTCCATTCACACCCCCTCGCGCCCGAGTAACCACATTTTCGTTTTCCGTTACACCGATGACGCAAACCCGGCTGGAAACCGCGCAATCATACGGGAATTATGCGAGCGTGTCGCATGCCATCCTACGCAATTTCAATGATCGTCAACCCTCCTCTGTTCGCAGACGACATAATAACGCCGGTGTACGTGGCGCCAACGAGATCACCGACGACGTTCAGGCCGAAGATATCCAAGGAGAACATTCAGGAACGGCCATCCTGCGACGACGAGGAAGACTGCGAGGAGGGTTCCGGGGAACCCGTCACCACCGAGGAGATCTTCGTCACGTCGGCCACTGGTCCGTTTTTATTTCATTTCCTTCCACTTTTCACCACCCTTTTTCTATTTTTCTTTCATAATTTCTCCTTTTTTTCTCTTTTTTTATTCGACTTTTGCTCCCCTCTTTTTCGTCTGTTTTCAGAACACTCGATTTCCCTGTGCTCGCGTACGAGTCATACTACCACCACCGGTATTGATCTTCCGCGCATGGTTTCCTCTCGTTCACTTCCTAGTACGTGCTCGTGCAGGCGGAGTATTTCCAAGACTTGCGTGAGGCTTGCGAATGGTTACACGTGGCTGAAACGAGGAATTTTCTACGATGGCTTCTGAGAAGCAGTGTCATGGTTTTGGTTATTTCGGTTCGAGTGGGTTAGAGGAAGTATCGCAGGACTGTCTGCCCGTTTGGAAAACGCTTGGAAGGAATTTTCGCTCGAATATCGGCCTTCGAGAATCGTTTTCTGGTCACGATTGTAAACCTCACTCGGGGTATTGCCGCTTTGTTGCTGTTGTTATATTGATTCCTTGGGTAGGACGTGGGCGTCTGCTCTGGTGACCCTCTATTCCTTTTTGGATTACGAATTCAGAAATAATTCGAGGAGAGTTTATAGAATTAGAAGTAAATCCTTATACGTGCTTACGTAAAACTAGCTCTCTGTCTCGTAATACCTGAAATGGTAGTGATAATTAAAATCGTGTGATGAAAATAGATGTTTGTAACTCAATTTCTATTATTAAAATGTACAATAACACCCCTCTATGGTCTGTGGCAATAATTTACAAAAGTATAGAAATTGAGCAGAGAAGAAATATTACACGCTTCACCCAACATTTTATTCCCAATTTCTGGACCTGGAATTAAATCTTGGTATAATCGGGAATCAATTATATCGAACTATGAAACCCCTGCAAACATCCCCAACGAAATTTCCCTGTCGACCAACTCACCGAAGCAGACGGCCCATGCAATTCGCTCGCGATGAAAAACACTCTATCAAAATTTGAAGCAGCCTCCGGTGAAATCCCTGCTCCCTGGCCAGATAGCACCGCATTAATATTTATTGCCAGCGAGATCGAGTTCGCTTGGGGAACGTCTCACCTCCGTCGGGCGTTCCTTAATTGAAGCAAGAGGCCGATCTTCGAGACCTGTAGGCTCGGGGCAAACAAAGAGAGAAAGAGAGAGAGAGAAGAAGAGACAGAAGGAGAAGAGGAAAATAAAAAAAGAAAAGAACTATAGAAGAACGCAGGGAAACTCGTTATGGAAATACTTGGCCCGTGGGCGTCCTCTTCATCTGCATATCCCTCAACTTGATGCGGTGATAGCTCCGCCAATCCCGACTGCCACCGGTTAAGTTGACCGTCACGAAAATAGCACTACCCTTGTTCGACGCGACGTTGATGCGACTTCTTTTCAGTTCGCCGCTCTTCATCGCGGAATAGGCTCCCCTTCATCGTTTGCTCGCCGCTCGTTTATCCCGGTTAAAGCAATTTCGCGTCCGACACCCGGCAAAACGGTCGAAAGAACCACCTTCACCGGTACCAACTTTGTTTTTACCCTTTTCGTTCATTTTCTCCGGGTTTTATTCGCAGGTTTGACCTTGGAGAGAAAGCATGAAACGAGAGTGTGCACGTCACGTAGGAAATTTTGGCCAGACAGTCGCGAGAGGTCGAGGAACCTCGTTAGAGAGCTGTACGAGTGTTGCGTGAGATTATTACGTTGTGATTTGATCGAACAGAGGTTCGCGGTTCTCTCCCGGAGTTTGATAGTCACGAGAGGCTATTTTTGAGGACAGAAGACGCTTCGATCGGCGAATCCTAGGCGGTTAACGAACTTAGTCGGTAGACATATTGTAACTAGTTCAACCGCGAATCGATGGCGAACGTCGTAAAGCAAGCTTTCTACCTCGCATGTTACGTTTCGTGTGTGCACCGACTTACGATTAGTCAAGATGGTTTCTTTAATCGATGCTCGAGATCGTGGAAATTTTAGTTACAGTTATTATAGTAATACGAGGGGGCTGGCAGTACAGGTTGGATATACAGTGGATATAAATTGGATAGAAGGAGCCAATTTTTCTGACTAATCTGGAAAAATATTTCTGATTCGAGGAACGGAATTTTAATCCAATTAGATGACGAAGTAGGAACAAGTGTCTTCAGTGTAATAAAAATATTTAAAATATGCTTCAAGTATGGTTGATAGAATAAATTCGAATTCGATGGAAAAATATTTCCAATTCCAAATAATGGACCTTCTAATACTCCCGAATATCGTACAACTACCCAATGAGAACTCTTAAAACACTGGGCAGACTGAAATTCGTCCCCATTCTCCATTCGAAGTAGGAATCATCTTCATATATATATATATATATGTTTCATAGGAAACATCTTCTGTATAATAAGATTTAAAATATACCTCGAGTATGGTTGATAGAATAAATTCGAATTCGATGGAAAAATATTTCTAATTCCAAATAATAGACTTCCAATACTCCCGAATATCGTAGAGCTACCCAACGAGAACGCTTAAAACACTGTTCAAACGGAAATTCGTCCCTATTCTCCATTTTCATAAATCTTACAAGCACCCTCGTAAACTTCGTATCTAACTTCCGACTGACAACGACCCTTGCAAGTTCTCTTGTAACTCAAAATTAACACAACTTCCTAGCTGCTCGACTTAGCTTAATCCTGCCACTTCGTCGTCCGCCGCTATCAAATCCATTTCAACCCCTATGAACCTTCAGACGAACGCGAGCCATACTTCTCCATTAAACTTCCCCTGAAACCGACTTTCGTCCCTCGTGCAAGCCACGATTGACCACCACCCGTCCAATGTATACAACGTACTTGGAAGCCCAATCTGCATCCCCATAAACCACCCTTCTTACCCCATCCGAGTCTCTCGTTCCCGCAGCGACGTGTCACCGAAACGAAATTCGAAAACGAAAAGGGAAACCGAATCATCGTGCAACGCTATCGCTATCTCGTCGTCAGTATGCGTGTAGATGATCGAACGGTTGTCCCTGGATGCCACGAAACACGAGTCCCTCCGTCGTCGCTCGCAACGTGGCTGCTGGCCACGCACGCGTGAATATCGCCGGCCTACGCACGCGTAAATATTGTCGGTAGCACGTTACTACCCCATCCCATGTTGGAGCCAATCGGATACGCGTAATTGCAGCAACCTGCAGCTGACGCTTCTCTCTCTCGTTTCCATTTTCCAAAGCAGACTCGAGCTCGGTGGCGTACACGACGGCCCGCGAGTACACGACCAGCCACATCAGCACGCAAACGTCTCCAGGCTCGCCGTCGACATCGACCCGGGACATCGTCACCGTCTCCGTCCAGTACAATGTGTCAACCACAGACATCGAAACCAGCCACGCCAGGTGAGTTTGCCAGTTTATCGCGAGGACACCCCGTGGCGACGTGAGAGCTCCTCGCAGGCCGGGTGCCGCTGGATCGCTCAGGGTTCATCGTGCACGCTGCTCGTATTTCCGCCGACGCGTTGCTTCCGGTCTCGCTCATTCCGGTAATCGTGTTTGTTATGAAGAAAGTTGCTCTGTTTTTTCAGTTCTATATCAGCAGCTGCTACGTGCGATACTTGGAGCGGGGTATTTTTCGGTATACTTGATCGTGTTTGTTATCGCGAAAACTGATTTTTCTGCAATTTTGTGCGAACGGCTGGTAGTTGAACGTTTGTTCGATCAGAGTATAGTTGGAAATAGTCGTGTTCGTTATCGAGAAAACGGATTTTCTTCTGTATTTTTGTGCGAATAGCTGTTATAAGATAGTTGCACGTTTGTTAGATCAGGATATCGCGTTTGTCACGAGGAGAATTATTTTTTCTGTATTTTTGTGCAAGCTGCTGCTACATAAAATGTTTGAATGCTTGTTGAACCGAAATATCAGTCGAGGTAATGGTATTTGCCGGCGAGAAAACTAATTTTTCTGTATTTTTGTGTGGACAACGGCTGTGCGAGATAGTTGGACGTTCGTTAGATCAGGGTATCGCGTTTGTCATTGAGAAATTTGTTCTTGTTTGTATTTTTCTGCTAGCAGCTGCCATGTAAGATACTTGAATATTTTTTGAATCTATAGCGTTTGTCGTTGGTGAAAATATTTTCGTTTTACATTTTTATACGAGCAGCTGCAATGAAAGATACTCGAATATTTAAGGGATGATGAAGTGGTATATAGTGTGTATATATCTTGGATCTGAGCCGACACTTGGCTTCACCACGCGCGTGTGATATTGAATCGAAGACGGGATGTGAATTAAAAATCGGGAAAAGTTTTTAACAAGTTGGGATCATTTTTCGAATTAACCGGTAATTCCTGTAATTCCTGTATGTGATGTTTCATGAAAAGTAAATGAGTTTTAGATGAAGGATATTTGCTAGGATATAGTATATACGGAGGTAATTAAAGTTAATTAACAGTGAATTGCTAACGAGAGTTAGCACGTACTTGTGCTTATATACTATTAGTCAGGAGCATCTGGACAGCTGATTATTTTTGGTAAAATTTAATTAGAAAATTATCGACAAAGGAATTACAATGAATATGTATTTGTGAAATAGGATATCACGATGAGATGAAATTAATTTTTTAATTTACTACAGTCATTACAATTATACGTTATTGTAATTAAGTTTTGCTTGAATTTTTCAATTTTTCAATTATGGGTTGAATAAAGAAATTTAAAAATTGACTACTAAATTGATAAGAAAGATACACAGTTGATAGTGAATACGAAGAATCGCGAATTTAATTGCAATTCATTATTAGAAAGTCTTTTAATTAATAATTTTAATTTGTAATTATTTACTTAATATTAGTTTATTATATTAAAAATGTATATTATAATTGATCGAAATAACTTGTGATATTGTATTTACTACGGTAGGTGATTTATTAGAATTATTTATTTTGAGGGGTTGACAAAATTTGGAACTAATGCAAAAGAGAATTGATATTTGTTTTAACTTGTTATTAAGTGGTGCGTAATTTGGCCTGATAATTTGCTGTTTGATATCAGAGCAGTTAATTTTAGGGACGCAGTTCGTTTCGTGTACTTACGTTTGTGAAGTAACCATGCAGAAAGATAATTTCAATTGTTTGAACGTTATTAATGTTAATTCTGGTTCATCCTCACTGAATGAACATTTGATAAATAATATTTGAAAATAAAAAGGTACATTTCACGAGACATTAACATTCAAAATGGAATACTGGAAAATTATTTGCTAATTGTATCATCGTCTATAAAGGAAACAATTTCTTTGTATTTTTTGATACAAGTTTTGGATCCTTTTACGAATTTTTCATCAGTACTAAGATGATCGATATCAAATAACGAAATTATCGATCGATTCGATTCATGCTACGAAATATTTAAAGTTTATGATTATTCTAATTATCAATGTAATTATTTGATCCGGTTTGTTTCTATTTAACACTAGATCACTAAACATAAATTTATCAGATATTTCTATTTCAACGTTACGTTCCCTACAACTTTTCAAACATGTCATTCGCTATCTCCATAAAAGCCTACAGATAATCTACACAAACGTTAGCAGATAATTCGGATGTTCTGTATATCGCCATAAATTTTCCAACACGTTTGCAGAGATAAATTCTCTAGCTGATATTTCAAGTCGTATTCCATTTAAATAACACGCGAACATAAATTATTATAATACTCACATCGATATTCGATACCTTAAACATTACAATAACGTCATAATCCTCTTGTACTTTATCAAACGTTCTACATATCATTCCAAAACGATACTCCACACAGAAACCCTCTTTCGAATATCACATTATATAATCTGTAATATTGTAACTTCATCATATTTTCATTATACTAAACTTCCCATTACTCATCTGTCCAAATATACGTGTAGTTGCACTTGTAGCTGCATATCGCAATTACAAGAATAAATAAAAGCAAATTTTATATCGTGAAAATAATTATGGGATGTAACCGAATACTAACAAGTAGAATCGATGTTTGGAACTTTAAACAACATCTCGAAAGTAAAAATGTGTGAGATATATTCACAGATATATTCCTTCTTAAATACAGTGGGGGTTCGCTTAAATGGCCACCGCGGTTAGGACCGAGAGTGGCCATTTAAGCAAACACCACTATATATACAGGCTGATTCACTCGCTAACATACTCAAAGGCAATATCACCTAAGCAGAAAGTCCTCCACTTTAAACTTTTCAGCTCGTACATATACTCGCACCAATATAATCACTGTACACAGTCGTTAGAGCGTCGAGTGAAGACACAGAAGCCCTGTTAAAAATGTTTGGTACTGTCTTTTTTATTCCATCAGTGAACTAATCACCCTGTATAATTAAATATTTATACATTACTTTACAAGTATATTATATATTCTTAACGACTCCATTTTAAACATTGCAGTAGCGTTGTGACGCAAAGATCGACCACCGTGACGACCCAAACGCCCACCACAGAGATGACGGACCCACCACCACCACCACCGCCTCCGATGTTCCCTCCGATACCAACGCCACCAAAGAACAACAACAACAAGAGGATAACATCCGAGGCGGCAGAGAACGCGGCCCTAATAATAGGCATCATAGCCGCAGCGTTGATCGCCATCGTTCTGATCATTCTGATCATCCTCAAGTTCAAGAATCGTCCGGAGAGCAGCTACAAGGTCGACGAGACGAAGACCTTCTGCCAGGACCCGAACGCCGCGTTGCTCGGCACAGCCGGCTCCGGTCAGCCCTTCAACGGGCCCCTAAAGAACGGAGCCAACGGCAGCAAAGCCAACAAGAAACGAGAACTGATAGACATCAAAGAGTGGTACGTGTAGAGAAGAGTCTTCGACATTCATGCGTCCGTTCGAGTTGCACACGTGCTTTTGAACCTCGTGCCAGCAGATGGATACACGAGTCCGAGAACTTGACAGGGGACGTGTAAGCCTCTTCTTAGGTCCTTCGTTGGTGCTAGGGGATTATCTAGGTATAGTTGGACACGTTGACGTACGTAAAATGGTGTTTCACGTACAATGATGAGGACAGGATGAGGACAGTGTTCGACAACGCGGTTTCCGTTCGATGGATCACGAACTGTTCAGACGTCCTGGTACCAGCCATCGTTACTAAACGATCAAGAGATCCAACTTCGTTACCAGACACGAAACGAACGAGAGATTAAACAGGTTCGGGGATCATTGACCGCGTTCACGGAATCGGACCTCGAGGCAAGAGAGGTCAATGGCATAAGGCATATCGAATGTTACGTCGATGACAGCCAAACCTGGCCGACGTTCTGGATGATCCTGTCAGTGGAGATTGCGTGTGTCGAAGATGAAAGACGGCGAGTAAGATGGACAGTGTTAGAAGTTAGGGGCGTCGATCGGCGTCGCGGGCGTCGTCGCGCGTCGGGAGAAGCCAAGACTGATCGCGTCGATCGGGATAGCGGGAAGAAAGGGTGAATGAAAGGGTGGAGGAGGCAAGGATAGAGGCATCGAGGGTGCATTGGAGATTATGTATGTCGAATGGTTGTGCCGATCGAAGACGTGTCCGAGCGGCAGCGGACGTAGAGCATGACGTTATTACTCTTCGTTTAGAGCGACGCTCGGCTTTAATCCCAACACTCTCTCGACTCTGAACGTGACGTCGAGCGTAGGCGATCGAAACTGGAAGCTTCGAATCCTCGAAGTACGAGCGCAGATTTCGAAAAATGCAAAAGAACGCGCGAGAAGTCTGCGCGAGGTCGCGAATCCTCGCGTAGACTCGTGAAATCAAACTTCTTCCTTGTTGCTATATATTGTTAGTTGTGTATCATACTCATTGTATATGGAAAGATTTATCATGGTAGCATTCACGTGCATGACCCTTTCTTTAGGCCGCGTTCGAGAGGAACTCGAAAAAATTATTCGAAAATTAACAATATATATATATATATTAGGGAAGAGGGTGGGAATATAGACCGGGATTGTAATATGGACTTCTTCTTTTTAATTGAGCAGGTACGAATATTGCAATTAGTGTCCTCTAACGCCGGCAACAAAACAGTGATGCGATTGGCTTTTCTTTTTTTTACCTAAAAAGTGGAAATGCTTTTACTTGTCTACCTCTTTTCAGGGTAAGTTTCAGTAACTTTTTCTCGTATTAATTGACTATTATCTGTAGAAGTATAATTAATCATAAGATTAAACTTTAAAATAGTGTATTTAGTTCTTTAGAGATATCACTCCCATAGTGGGATTTTTAAGTTAATATAAAAAAGAGGTTGGAAGTGGTAATATGGACTGAATTCTTAAGAGACTTTTATTAAATATTAAATTTACATTCAATTGCATTAGAAAATTATAATTTCTTAAAAAAAGATTCATACAATTATTCATTTTATATTTCGTCCTCATTTTCAAATTTTTTAACATTTCTTCATATCTTTTGGTTCAAGTAATTTTTAAATTTACATCTAATTACTATAAATATGAAGAAAAATACAAAATCTGTCAAAAAATTTACTACTTGCCATATTTTCTTACCTTGTTAGCTATATGTTATATTATATTATGATATATTGTTAGCTCTATATTACCACTCACAGAGTTTTTGACTTAATTTCCGTCTTTTACAAATGCGACTTTTATATTTTTAATACGTGTTTCCCTCGAGAACGAAAGACTGATCCATATTCCCACCTTCTTCTCTATACATACATATATATATATATATATATACGACGTATTTCGAGGATCGTGAAACAAATAATAAAAAGCTTTCTGTTTTAAACGTCGCCATAGTCCATGGTGTACGTACACGAGGGATGCTCGAGGAAGTGTTGGGGCTAACGCGTAAGGACGAAAGTATCAATTACGAACGATCCTATCTAGCGATTAATGAACTTATTGTTGTATAGAAGAAAAAAAAATATATATATATACATATACGATATTTATCGATTATGTTATGCGTGTAAATTGTTTATTAAATTATAGATTTTATTAACACAACAATGGAAGAGAGCGTGCATGTACGTGTTACGGTATGCGTGATAACGGTATGAGAGGTAGAGCGATAGTCCGCGTTGTTTTGTTTGAATATGATGAAGCGACTCGAAGTAATGTCGGTGTTATTAACCGTAAGTCAACGCGTTATTGCGAAACGCGGAGGTGTCAAGTTCTAAGCGATCGCGCGCGAGAAGCTCGGAGGACACTGTCGAAATGTAGTAAATGATACGTAGCCATGCGCGAGTCGATGCTTAAATACGTATACACAGGGTGTGAATGCAGTATTGCCAAAAGAAAAAAACAGAAAAAAAATCGAGTTTAACCCGCTGTTTAACCCTTTGATGTCCGATACGACCTTCGGTTCAGCCGCCATTGCTTCTCCAAATGTTTTATTTCCGACCTTTATGTTCAACGTCTCTGCGATATCGTTTCTCTTTCTACGTCTTAAATCTGGCATTTTTCTCTTCGAGACTCCTTTGGCGTTTCTGTGATACTTTGACGGATAACCTCACTGTATATTTACCTCTGTGTACCGAGCTTCGTCGTAAAATCTTATCCGAAATAAACTTTTATGCAAGAAACGAAATATCAGTATGGAACCTCGAAGATAGGGCCGCAAAGGGTTAACTATACTAGCGCATCGCACGAATACCGTGGATATTTGAAGCCGTTTTTATCGAGCTCTCTATCGCCTCTATAGAAATTCTCCGGAGGCTTCTCTTCCAGCTTCCTATCGTCGTCGGTGAGATCTCTTCTCATGGGTAACGTTGCACCCAGTGAACATAGCTCTCCCCTGGACGCGACGAGTAAAAGTGTAATTGTCGGCGAAATATTTCTATATTTTCGTATCATCCTGCTCGATGTTATCCTGCTTTTCAACGAGTGAGATCGGTTCAGACTGGTGTCGGCTCTCATCGACTGAAGTACGTTTCGTTGTTGACACTGTAAAGATTAATATTCGTTGTTATATTCTATTAGCGAAATTTGGAACGATGCTTTTGGCTCTTTGATAATTTCTTGATCTGTTAACTGGGAAGTTAAGATAAGTTACGATAATTGACTTTGCCAGTGATATTTGTCTTCTAAAGGTTCGTCGCGTTTATATTAGGCTTATATTACTTCGTACTACCGTTTATTTCGATTAAAATCGACCTGGTTGAAATGAATTCTGTCTTAGAAATTGTTAAATATGCGACTGTAAAAAGTTCTAATTAATAAGCTAGCTAGTTAACAGATTAAGAAAATATGCAAAAGCATTCGTTAGAAAATTATTAAATTATAGTATATCGTTTAATAATGTTTCATATCCTTTGCCTTAATCAAGAGTGACACCAGTCTAGACGGTAATTCACTCGGTTGGTTCGTAGAACGCAGAAATTATACGCGTGTTTAAACGTCCTTTCAATGAACCTAAGCTAGATTGTTAATTATTGCCGCAATTCGATCATCTTTGTTGCTACTAAATTATCTAAATTCCAGTTGGAATTTCTTCGAAGAGACCGACTAGTCAAAACTCTATTCCTCATCGGGGATAGGACCCCTTTCGAAACGTTTCTCGAATAGCGTGTCGTCCGGAAAACGCGAAGATCGCAGAATTCGACGAACGAATTCGCAAAGAAGCAATAATGAAACGTGATACTGGCAAGAAGAGGATCTATAAGTTAGATTAATTTAAGATCGTTAGATACTCGGTTCGCAAAGGTAATTGCCATTGATTTTGTTGGCGTGCACTTCTAGAACGACGAACTCGTCAACGACGCGGCGACGGTATGGCATGTACTATTCGTGGATGAACGAAAGGAAGAGAGAGAATGTGAAAATGATGCTTAGATACGGTCGAGAGATCTTTGTTAGGCCGTTGATCGAACACGAGATGAAAAACGTCCGATTGTTAAAGGCTTATAAGGTATATATACATATATACTTTGTAAAATGCTCAGCGTAAGCCGACGACTCGCCAGTTTTTTCTATATACGACGTTCCTCGAACACCGTGTAGTCCTCAAGCTCCATGCGAGTAAGAATAGAAAAGATAAAGTTTAAAAAATGTAAGAAAAATGTAAAATTTCTCGACTTCTTCGTTATCTTTTCTTAAGCGGTTCCGGCGGGACGGAACAATCATTTTCGCACTGTTAATTAAACGTTTGGGACTCTAGAAAGGATTCCACGGTGGTTAAAGGTTCGAGAAACGCCGATAAGTTTGTTCTTTGTTCGCGACTCGACTTTTGCGTCGTTCTCTAAGCGACTCGTAGAAAGTTCCGTCTAGGATTTTCGTATCAGATTTACTTGTCCTTGTTAATTCCACGGAGCCCAACTCGAGACGTGCTTGCTAACGAGTGGGCTCGTTAGTCTCGTTATCGTCGCAATCCGCGTTTAACGCGCTTCGTTGCGACCGCCACGGAACTTCGTTGTCGTTATAGTTCAATTATCGCTCCAATTGCCAACGGGAAATATCCTCTTATCGCTTCTCAACGCAACGCGCGGCCATCGGACTGACCGCCATCTTGGTGCACCATGGCCGCCGCGGACACGCTGGTTTTCTACTCGCTTCGCGACTTTACTCGACTGATTATTCGAATTCCGATCGATATCGCGTACTTTTTCTATCGTTCCAGCTTCGTTCCAACGGATCATCTCTTTTTAACATACGCTTCAAACGTTTCCAGTGTTTCCGACGTAGAACTTTGTTAGATAAATCGAAGAAAGTTACGATTAATTAGATTTCTTTATCGATCGATTACAAAACCGAGACTCGATTACAGTTTCCGAGCGAAACGAAAGTTAGAAGATTCTTGACGCGACGTCGCTTTCGACAATGTCGGAGTACAGGCTCTCAGGGAAGCACAATTATCGCGTTTTAATCAGGAGAAACTCCGAGGTCTGAACCAAACCGGACACGATTCAACGCATATCAAAATGAAACTCTGTAACCGGTTGTTCGTTTCATACGAGAAAAGAGGAAATCGACGAAAGGATGAACTCGAGATATCAGAAGGATCACAGTACTTTTCACGGTTTATCGGTACAGTGTTGGTTTTCTATTTTCTCTATACGAAATAGGTTCGCGTCACGTCGTACAAGCACCTACGCAGATACGGATGGGACATGTGTGCGTGCACACACGCACGTTTTTAACACGTTAAGCGCTACGTGACATCCCTAGGGACCGGCGCTAGACTTTCCGTTCAGGCCCCGCCGGTCCGTACGGCCCGGAAGGGCCCGCATGACGGCTAACTGCGGCATGAACGGAACGACACGTAAAACCGGTGTAGCGTTTAACATATTAACGTGTTAACGCATTGCCCGTCTGCGTATGTCGATGAGACACGTACGGGAACCAAAGGAACGATTGCTCGTGCAGAAAAATACTCCAAGAAACAAACGAGACCTCTCTTGAACCATTTAGAAATTGATGAGAAAACGGGAAAAAACAAAATGAAAGTAAAAAGGAGACGAACAAACCCTGTGCAAATCCTCGAGTAATATCGAAGTATCGTTTCATATCTTAATCGCACAAGAGCTTGATGAATCCAAATACAGCACGATTTCTGCCGATGAAAGAAATGTCACGGGTGTAAATTATTCGCTTTCTTTTCTTCCTTATTCTTTACTTTCTCCCACGTTCGTTTTGTATCGTTCACGCGATATATCGTCGGATCGATTCGATCGAACGGAACGATCGCTGTTTAAACACGACGC